GTGCGGAAGCGCGGCTGAGCTGGTCCTGGTCCAAGTGGCCATCCCAGACTCTTTGGGAGGAGGCTGCATTGCAGGAGATCAGCCGGACCTACAGCTGCTTCTTTCCCCAAAGCAAGACAAAGTAAAAGCACTGATGAGGGGTGTCCTACCTGCGGGGAAGCACTGGCCCTGGGTTCTCCTGGAGCTCAGGACTGTTCCCATTCATTTTCCTTTCACCAGACACTAATGTTGTCTTTGATTTTTGCTACTTCTTTTGTTTGTTGTTGTTAAAGACGCTTTTTTATTTGCTACACTCTTGCAGAGGTCTGTCCATTCATACAAATCCTGATTTTTCTGTCTGCAGGTACAGAATTTAGCTTAATTGTCTAATCAAGATGTCCATCCTTGGCTTAAAGCCCATATACAAATCACATGAAAAGTACACACTGATAATTTCCCAAGTCTGCAGATTTTACAGCTGAGATGACTAAGCATAGTAGCACAAGTTATGGACTTCCAATCAAAATGAATGCAAATATCATAAAGCACATAGACCTTCCCTATGCAAAGGTACACTGGTAACAAAGGTTTAGAGACACAGTTAAGGTTAGTGGCGATAGATCCTCATATTTCCATGAAACACACTAATAAATAAATAACTTTAAAATAATCTTACTTCAAAATTATCTAACTGAATCCAGTTTGCTACTGTTACTTTTAAAAACAACCCTTTAATTCCCCCCTTCTCTTTCAAGTTCTGACCAGTTATTTACAGCCCAAGCTCTGCTTCAGTTAATTGTTTTGTCTAGAAATATTAATTAGAGATCAGCAATTTCCACCAATGTCATTACCACAACAAATCTTAAGGAAGAGCCTAGAAACATGTTTCTTCTTCTTTTTCAGAGGCACATATGGCTTTCAGAGTGACCTTCGCACACTGAGTTCATATGGATTCAGACATCCTTCATTCCTCTGTATCATCATTTCTAAATCACAGAAATGACATCAAAGAAACCGTAAGGGTCTGACTTTTATCACCAAAATAAATTCTGATTTAATGTACTCTCTGCAATACTTAGGCACAATAGGATGCATGATTAGATCATAGTAGAGTTAACAGTATACCCATTGTGCCTTGTTAACTGAGGATGCATGGTATAGTCCCACTTAAAATTTGAACTTCATAGCTTTTACGGGTTTAATGTAGACCTTTGGGGCTACATATGCATTGAAGATTGGACACGTAACATCCATTATTGTTAGAAGTGGTTGCACACACAATCATTGATGTTTAACACAGAAAATCAGCTTTTTCTACCTTCATTTCCGATTTAAAAAAATTTTTTTTGCTTCAAAAAAAACTCTAGCCTACAGTTTAACTAAAATGTCCTGAAAACGACAGATACTTGATTTTTGTTTTAAAGGCATGATTCTGAAAGAAGCAGAGCTGTCTGACAGCGGTTCAAAAAAAGCACACTTAAGCACATGGGAATTTGACTGAAACCAGTGGGGCTACTTGTACCCACCAGGATAAGGATGTGTTGAAATGCTTTTCGGGACTGGGACCAGAACCCAGCAGCATCAACCCCTAAGACCAAATTTTGGGGCCAGATATGCATGCAGATTTTAGGTGGGTTTGGTAAGAGAGACTGCTATTAAATTTGTTTGACAGATCCCTGTTTAAGATGCAGATTTTACACACCAGATGCCTGCCTGAAGCTGAATGTTTCAGGGGAAAAAAATCAAACAAAATAGTTAGATCATTTCTGAGAAAATACATAATTTGATCTCACATAACCTAATTTCTGAGGTTTTTAATTTTCAAACTTAAACTGTACCCCCCTTAGCAGCTCCATAAGTAAAATACAGAGGGAGATACTTTAGTCTCCTCTTTGTGCTATGGGTATATCACATGAGTGTTCATGTCATAGTTTGAAAGCATGCACTGTTTTAAAATGCAAATGTACTTTTAGTTACTAATTTAAATTCTAGGAGTAAAAATATTTTTTAGATTTATATATACAAATTTGATCTCCAGAAATTTTTTTTTTATATATATATCTCTATATATTCACTGTTCCTTGTTAAGAAAGAGCCAAAACTACCTCCTTTATGTAACATTCATTCATTAAGCCTAAAAATGCCTGGTGTTGCCTGATGCAAATAATACAAACCAACCTATGAAATGTGTTTTTAAATTAAAAGCCCATTTTGTGATCTGGCAATGTGACATAAACGGCTATCAGACTGTTAAGTCTGACAATACTGAATTGGCACTTCGTCTATGGCACAGATTTCACACTTATCTGCATGCTTAAGTGCTACGCTGGACAGAAACGAAATGACAGTCAGCCCTCCAAAACAAACCCTCAGGGGACCTGGACGAATGCTTGGTGTATCAGGGGGTTTGCTCTAATAAGATGCTACACTGGAATAACGAAGAACTATCCCATTTGCATTCGACATAAATAGACAGTAATTCTGTGGCAATTATTTCATACAAAGTCCACGTCCTGGTATCTTAGAAAAACCCTGCAAAATGACAAGAAAGGCGAGCCGTATGCAGGTCAGCCTTATGCAAGGGCCTGCCTAATTCAGCTATCAATGAAAGAACTCTTTTTTTTGCCCCTGGATCTGCTCAAAATGGGTTCGTTACTGGCAGGGTTTGTTCCAATGAACTCAGGCTGCAGTGCAAACTTAAGTATGATGCCTTGAAAGGCAGGGGGTGATTTTTCGGTCATGGCAATGGTGTTTTTGACTCAAGTGGAGGAGGAGGAGCAGAGCCTCTGTCAACGTCACTGTCGGGCTCTGATGGTGACTGCACACACGCTCAAATACACAGGCACCTGCTGTGGCAACAGTAAATGCTTCACCTTGCCATGCATGAGAAGGCGTATGGTAAGCGTGACATTGAGACCTCCTTCAGTCACTTTTGTGTCCTTCGTGTTCATCCTGGCCTTGTATCTTCAATACTTGAAAGCAGCTTCGTTTTTCTTTTTTTTTTTTTTTTTTTTTTTCTATTCACTTAATCAACCTACAAAGAGAGAGAGAGAAAAAAAGAAAAAGTACCATTGAGTGGCTGAAGCTACTCTGAACTGAGAATATCATGTTGTACAAACCAATTAACATTCCTCCCTTTGATTTTCTGGACTATAGTTTAGTGCTGAAAAGGCTTCTTTGATATTATCCCTCGCCAACCAACTCTTTAGCCTTTCACCAATTACAAGATAAACTCCCTTTTGAAACCTTAAAAATTCTCTTAACTTCCTGTATTTTGAAGCTGAAAGTACAGAGCACAACAGATTGAAATACGTTTTCTTCTGAACAGCACTTTCTCTCTGTTAACCTTTATGGTGTGTATACGCAATATATAGATGCATTTTTACATGTGCCTGGTACTGTTTTCATTTCTCTCCCTGTTACTACCTCTTTCTCTTTTTGCTCTTGAAGAAGAGATATTTTTGCTTTCTCTCTAGCTAGAGAGAAATTAATTCTGAGCCTAAACACTGATCCCTGCCAGCAACAGCGGATGACACATTATCAAAGACATCTCAGTAACCAAGAGCCACTTGCTGCTGTAAATCTGGGCTCCGTCTGACTTTTTGTTTTAGTTTACCAGGCCCAGAGGTGGCTCAGTCCCTTAAAGGCCAAAGCTGAGCTTCAGCCCTAAGTAGAAGGAAGATTTTTCTTAATTCCTAATAACAAATTGCAGATTTTCAGTCATTTACAAAGCCATAAATATCCTAAAATGCTAATGAAAGCTGCAAGGGCTGGCTTTGAAGGGATAAACAAGATGCATTATGAGTTTATTAATGCAAGGACATTTATCAGTACAAACAAAAATGGGGGCAGGAAGGAATATTACTAATGGTAGGCAAATTCCACTGTAGAAAAGGCTTAGAGAATCCTTATTCAGTTTTGTCCTCTTCAGGCTTATCTTACAGAGCATAAAACCTTTAAGCAGACATCACTCCTCTCAGTAACCATCCCTTATTAACGACAACCCTATTAGCTTCGCATTTTGGAGCTTCCAAAAAATTTGGCTAGCTTGGGCAGTGGCTAATGAGCAGCCCTAGGGACAACCTTCTGTGGCTCAGAGTGTACAGCAGTGTCTCACCGGGCCGGCAGGCTGTTGTCCCCTTGTGCAGACTGCTCAGGCATGGCACTAAACTACTGGAGGGACCTACGAGATCATTCCCCTAAAAATGCCAGAGGTAGTATCATGCAGATTGTTCCATCAACTGATTAAGCTCCATCTTAAGTACTGTGTCCACATCTGGACTACTGTGTCCAGTTCTGGAGTCCCCAGTTCAAGAGAGACAAGGAAATACTGGAGAGAGTCCAGTGGAGGGCAACGAAGATGATGAGGGGACTGGAGCATCTCTCTGTTGAGGAAAGGCTGAAAGAGCTGGGTCTGTTCAGCCCGGAGAGGAGAAGACTGAGAATGGATCTCATCAATGCTTATAAATACCTTACGGGTGGGTGTCAAGAGGATGGGGCCAGACTCTTTTCAGTGGTCCTCAGTGACAGGTTAAGGGGCAACGGGCACAAACCGAAACTCAGGAAGTTCCAGCTGAATGTGAGGAAGAACTTCTGTACTTTGAGGGTGGCAGAGCACTGGCACAGGCTGCCCAGAGAGGCTGTGGAGTCTCCTTCTCTGGAGATATTCAAAACCCACCTGGATGTGATCCTGTGCCACTTGCTGTAGGTGAACCTGCTTTGGTAGGGGGGTTGGACTAGATGATCTCCAGAGGCGCCTTCCAACCCTGACTATTCTGTGATTAAGAGCCACTAAGCACTGACATACTAGACCAAAGTAAAGCCCATCTTAGTTGAGCCTATTATGTGCGAGAGAAGTCAACAGCAACGCTTAAAGAAGGAGCATAGGAAACATATATGGAATAACTGCTGATAGACTTGCTGAGCTGCCAGCAATCAATTCAAAAAATTCAAGGTCTTCTGGGAGACTGCATCCAGACCAGCATTTTCAATAGCCATTGGTGGACCAGTCCTCTATGAATTTGTCTAATCCCTTCTTGAATCCATACATCTGGTCTCCAAAAGTTCTGGTCTCACAGATCAATTATTAGTGTGGGAAAAAGTGCTCTACTTTATCTGGCTTTAAATCTGCTGACTGTCCTTTCCCCTTGTTACACATTTTGCTCTTTGTGTATTATCTGAAGACCATCCCAGAAAGTCACTCCTCTGATGGTTGATGCTTCTCACTTCAGCCTGAGCCTGTGAGTGGCCAAGCCACTCCTGATGTTTTTGCCGCTGGGACATACACTGTAAGACGAAGAGTTTTCTCTCAAGTCTGTGTAGGAGTACTTAAGACCACAGAGAGCTCCTGTGCCTTTGGTGACTGCAAGAATAAGAGGCAGACATACTTGAGGAGAGGTGAAAAGAAAGAGGGAGAAAGAGCAATCTAAACTCCTCCTTCCTAAAAGTAAATTCGTTAGTCGCTACCACAGAGCAGCTCCTGCCTACCCACTCCATTGCCAGGGCTGATTTTCCCTAACCCATCACGGGCTCAATGTATTTCATATCATATGCTCTACTACCCAGATCACAGCCACTGAAATAAATCCCATTTATCCACATTTCTAGGTTTATCACTTACATTACATATCACTTATCCAGATGGAGAAAAGCAGAAGTGAAGCAAGGTCCCTGGGTGAGAAGGCAGAAAACAGAAGCAGCCTGGTCATGCCTCTGATGCACCACGTGTGCAAGAGGGTGAGAGGAAAATGTCCCAAGGCAGATGGTAAGAAATGACAGAGAAAGATATCGGGCTGTATTCTGCTTCTTTAAGGTGAGACCAGGACTCACAGTAAAATCTGCAAGTGGGTGATCACGACAGTCCATTCTGACACATGCGGAGGGAGGAGCAGAGGAGGAGACTGTGGTTGTTCCCAGACTAAGGAAGGGAATGGTCCCACGGTGCTCACCTGATCCTTGCTGTTTGCTGAGGAAAATGCTCTGGCTCTGGCAGCCCAAGCATTTTCTGCTCAGCTCTGTCCAAACCCAAAAACCCCAAACCCCAAAACGCCAAACAGGAGCACTTTGAATAAACAGTAGAATACAACTTGGCATTCTGGACTTTACGGGAGCAATACTGGCAATCCGAGATGGCTAGAAACTCATGGTAGCTTAGGGCATGCTTGGAAGATTTCACATAATGGATGTGTTTGAAGTAGAAGCAAGGTATTTAAAACTTTCTGTGGACCAAAATTTAGTGATGAAGATACAGCTATGTTTCTAATGAAATGTATTGCCATGTGGGAAAAATAATCCCAGACTAGATACAGGTTAACAGTTGCCATGGTCTTTTACTGCTGTGATACTACAGCAGTATGCTCATTTTCACAAAAATTTTGGAGGAAAGCCTTTTCCCAGACAACAAACCAACCCCCACCCAAGCCTGACCTTTTCCACATAAAACCTAAAAAAATGAATCTGTATTTTCAGTTAACGCCTTTTGGGTTATTTTTGAAAACAGAGGTTAAAAAAGAAATTCCACTACAAATATTGTTAAAAATATCACTGCCATATAATTTTTTGGAAGGATTTTGTCTTTGCCCCTCCTCTCAACAAGCTCAAACTCTGGCACCTGGTACTGAGAAACAGAACAGATGTCTGGGGGAGGGCTGAGAGCGTGAGTGCTTGCAAGGAGTCAGGCATCTGTGTGAGATACAAAGAGAATGAATTAAAAAAGAATACATGAAATCTATACATATACCATGAAGAGAGAGGTGTTTTTACTGTTCCAAGCCATTTACAACTGCCCCATTTGTCCTGAAAGTCCAAGTATTCTGGTAAAACATTTACAGTTTTATAAAGTAAACCTACAGGACTGTTAATTACCTGAATATTTCAGTTTTAAAGACAGATTAAAATAAAATGTATTGTTGTACTTTATTATTTTTAACTAATTAAAGCAAATTTTTCCACAGACATCATCACAAACATGTGCTGGTCTAGATCTCTGTGTGCACCGAGATGTCAGATCATGGCACAAGGAAGAGAATGGTTTCCTCTACAAAGCCTCCTACCAGCCAGCAATACATCCATGTATTTATAAACCTACTCCTGTAATATAAAAGCACATCATGAATATTTAAACAGTAAAATAATTTCCCTCTCCTTTGCAAAATCAGCATTTTGAACAATTTACTATGTTCGTGGCTTATGCATGCCTCTCCGCCTGAGCAAACAGAAGGCTAAATACATAAGGCTTTCCTTTCTCAAGCTCTGTGTGACGAGGTCCCATGGGTACTCTGAGGGCTGGGAGAACTGAGTCTCAGACTATGAAAAAAATCAATGTGTCACACTTTTCCTGATGCCAGAGGAAAATCAAGGGACTCCACAGGTGAGCAGAGAGTATCGTGCAGGAAGATACAGTCAATGGCATGGCTGAATGTTAAGAGTGAGGGTTTATGCATTTTACCCTGCCTTCAGCAGAGAGCTGGCAGTGACAGGACAGCTGGACAACATCCTTCTTCTGATCTTGGGGCTCTGGACCAGAATGCACAAAATCTAAGATCCAGGGCTCTGCAGCTCCAGGTGACAAGCAAAAAAATCATGCCCAGGCAGCAAAGGAAAGTAGATCATATCAGATAGTTCCCAGCAAACAGCAAACCTCCTCCTCTGGGGCTGAGCATGAACTTTTGAGAACATTTCCACTGCTGTTTATCATGTAAAAAGTGAAAATTTCTCTTTAGGTAGAAAAAGGCATCCAAATGCATTAAAAAAACCCCAGTTTTTGAAAACTCCAATAAAATGGACATGTAGTTTTATGCAAATGCCTTTTATCTGTAACTATGTGTTTCTATACATTTTCAATATTAGCTATCCTAAGCTGGCATAAAATGGCATGTCCTATATGCTCGCTATTTGCTACACAAGAACCATCCATTTTCTAACATGATTTTTCAATAATTGTTGGCAGATTAAGCGACTAAAACAAGCATCTAAGTCACGTGTTCATCAGACTGTTACAAAGAACAACA